CCCGAGTCAATTAGTATATTAACGCCCCCGGCGTTTTGTGTACAGTCCTTGTTCGTCGATGCGTGTAATCGACCATCAGAATTGATGTTTGCTCTGACCTCCTGAATATGCATATGAATACGAAAAATCAAACTTCAGAACTTTTGAATAAAAAATCTACTTCCAGTTGGTAACTCCATACAGTAATCATTCACTTTTTCGTCGAAAGACAAACGAAATTTCCTTACCACGTTTATTTTTGCAGCTGCTCTCAACTTTGTTTAATTGAATCGACACTGATTCGTCTTTGCTGAAAAACCTCAAAATAGCTAAGCTAAAAACAAATACAGTTGCCTGCAAAAAATAATCCAATCAAGTTGAACCCGAGAAATCTACAGGAGTAATCCTCCTTGGTGGCTTAATAATACGTCCTCCTTTTTTTTTTTTTTTTTTTTTTCCTGCGCCGACAAGTCAGCGTGACAGGTAAGTATATACGGCGTACAGTAGACTGGAGGGTGAGTCGAATGAAACGACCGTCGCACCTCGTGCAATGCAATAAGCGTAACGTATAATAAGGACGAGGGTTTACGGGGATGCGCCGTATATAGCGAAAGTTTCGAAGGGTCGCTACGTGACGCGCCAGGAATGGCGGGGGTAAGGGAGGGTGGTCGTCTCCGTTACGTCGCGTGATATACGCTTTTCTCGCTCCTCCCAAGATGCGGCTTTGGATATAACTTTTGAAAAGGTTTCCCGGGTGGATCCTTTGACTCGAGGTGCGATTCCAGGACTCGTCGCGTGCCTCATCTTTTTGCAACGAGGTATTTTGGCCAAATGAATGCGATGAGCCGTGCATTTGCGTGGAGTTGCATCTACATCAATCGGCAATTGTCTCTCGCTATATAGTACACTGTTTTCTATTATTACGGCTTGTCTTGCGACGTCACTCCAACAAGCGAATAAATAGTTATTAGATGATGATGCATCGATTGTCTCGTCTGCTGTGGTCAACTGGATAGGGTCGTGGCCTAAAAATTTATTTCCGTTAATAATTTTCTCTTTTCGATGTGTACTTGCTTCGATGGGTGTAGCTGATCATTGGTCGATCTGATGATTTTTCGAGCTTTACCAGTATTGATGTTGCACACGCATGAGAAATATTGGACCTACTACAAGTTAGTAACGCATTTGGATTTGCATGTGTGTATAGTGGTTTTGCTGATTTCCACACGTGACACAATAAATATGTTGTCGTTGCTTCGGGTAGGTACGTATGTGTATAAGTAACGAGCCGCGTTCTCAAAGTTATAAAAGCATGCGTCGTAAAGTGCCATTTTTTTCCCACGACAATGCGAGCATACCCGATTCCTCGAAATTCAGTGTGCGCTCTAAGTATTCGACAAATTTACACGCATCCGAAGCTGGATTTCGTAATTTGCTTGTGACACCGATGACATAAGGTTTATACCTACTCAATGTCCCATTGTATAAACAAATCGCGCGAATGAATTTTAATTAGGCATACGCACACAATCTAACGAAATGCATACAAGCCGATCAATGAATTTCGTACGTGGGTAATGTTTTTGTTTGTTTTTTTTCTCAATGACTTTCAGGTAATGGACGGAAAATAAGAAAAAGAAAAAACGGGGCGCGAGGCTCAGTGAAAGTAAAACGCTGCATTGTACACATATACCGCCATATGCACGTCGGCAGACACTTTTCCTCGCTTTTTAATACTTTGGGTCACACACGTATATATATACGGCGCAGCCTCCTTCGCCGTGCCAACGACGTGGGTATATATATATANAACAAAGCGACGAGTCAATCTGGCGAGCGAAAAACAATGGGCTACCTTGAGGAGCGCGTATTCATATATATATATATATATATATATATATGAATACGCGCTCCTCAAGGTAGCCCATTGTTTTTCGCTCGCCAGATTGACTCGTCGCTTTGTTATGCGGAGAAGGGCGCCGATAAGCCCGTTTGCCGACACACGCGCGCCCGCGCATACGTAATACCCAGCTATTATTGCGAGCGAACGAGTCCCGCAGTGTAGGTATATAGAGAGGAGGTAAGGTCGTACGTTCGTCCCTATGTGTGTGTACCTATTACCTGTATACCGTGCATCTCTGGAATTGTGGAAAATCGCAGGTATATATATATATATACATACGTGCAGTGTGCTAATATTTGTAAGTAATAATGCACGCAAGGGCGATACGCATCTTTGTATATACTTTTAATTGTGGTACTCTTTGTTTAATAAATAAACAGAGAGTGAGAATCGGTCACGATTTGATGATTGAAGCCTTCGATCGGCTTAAATGCTTGTTACGAATCGATTCCATTGGGGCACATTGAACTCGATTATGCATAATGTTACTTCAATCTACGTTCGTTACGCTAGTAATTATTTCGTGATAATATATATTCCCGTGGTCAATTTAAAAAAAATTACGTTCAACATTGACAATTGTTTGAGCAAACGATTTATGTTCATGAAATCGGTTGGAAAAAAAACTAATCCCCATCACTTAGGTTGTAAGGAAGAATGCTTTTCTTTTTGTCAGACCGTAAATCCAAGTAAAGAGAGCTCCGAGCAACCAGACTTTGTAATATCTCTTGTTCATTACGTATCATAAAATCCAAGGATAATGGTATGACCGAGAAAATTATCTTCGTTTTCCCAGTCCACGGGTCCGTACTCTATTTTTCGTGAGAGTGAATTTTTCTCCTTCTTCTTCTTCCTACCCCTGAAATACGCTGGTCTTCTTACCTGCTTGGAGCTCGTTTTCGATGAAATTTATAATCCGCACTAGAGTCCATAAAATGTAGGTACACACATTATACATTCTCGTGCTCCTACAACCGATTCATAAATTGAATTGTATTTTTCTTTTTAATGACATATTTTTTGTGCAAGTAACTAATCGAACTCGTGGTCATGAATAATAAATAGATGGTATAGTTGAGTCTCTTTTGCCAAGCTGAAAATCGATTACTATATATAATACTACAGGTAACTCGTGAAATTGCTTCAATTAAACGTTATCTGTCTGTTTATGTAAATCAAAATCTCTAAAACTATTCTTACCACTCAATGTTGAATCCCTTATTTCTAAACCTAACATAGAAGCTAGTAAAATACTATGTCAATTCTTAAATGAATGTAAGTTAAATGTATAAGTAAGTAAATTAATCAAAAATGTTATAGTGTTAAATAATGATTCTTCATACGACTATTTATGTGTGTATTTATTGTATCTTTGTATATGCAATGTATCTTCTAACTGGAGCAATGTAAATTTCAAAAAGGTGACTCTGTGTGCCTAATGGACTTTGTCTAAATGGCTTTAAATAAAAAAAAAAAAAAAACGTTAGATGTCCCCAAAAAAATGAATAAGGTTATTGGCTAATTGGGGAACACAAAGACTTATGATGGCTCTTAAAAGGGCTAGTGCTGGCACTTTCAGTTGTTCCTTATTATTTTTTTCACGGATGGACAGCCAGCTGTGAGCAGCTTAACTCTTACCCTTCGAGTCTCTGCATACGGATATCGTGCTGGAGGAAGATATGCTACTGGCTGAAAAATATCTTATCTTCAGGAGGTTCCCCAGATAACCAACCACTTACTGTTGATCTGGAAATTAGGCCTGAAAAATATCTCTTCCATGGTATGCTGTTAACAGAAACCACTGATTAGAAGGCTAATAAAATTTTCAACCGATGTGGCTGCCCTACCCAGGTGTTCGACTCGACTCTACTCTTGATGCTCTGCCAGTGAACAACTATGTTATTTGGCTATTCGGGAATATTATAACCAGATCTTCTTACTTCTATTGCAGGTAGCTTTGATTTTACTTCTGCGCCACCAAGTAGATCCTACTGAACTTGAGTGAAAAGTTGGCATATTTTTTAAAAATTGTAAGCTTATTTACTGCTATTGTTATTAATTTTTTCAAGATTAGAATTATACAGAAACCATCTAGGAAGTATCATGAATCAGTGTGCAAANGTCTAACTGTTATATCAGCTGTTTTTAAAATAATTACAATAATATAAATCTAAGGTAAACTATGCTCTATAACAAAATGAATGTAATAGTTATAAATAATATGTAATTGCGAATACAAAAATATCTATAATTGCATATAAATGCAATTTTTTTGTTACTAATGTACAATACACGTACAAAAATCGAATACAAAATGATATTACTTTCTGTTTTATACTGTTTTCTACACAGTACTGTTTCCTACGTAATTTCCGAATCGTTTAACACTCTACCATATATTTTGTTTTGTTTTTTTTTGTTCACTAGTGTGGAGTCATGTATTATTGAAACGTGTAAATACTGCGGATGGAAAAAAATGTTTTTAAATTCAAAAAAAGTAATACTTGGTGTCAAGTTGTCAATTAAAATGAAAAAAAAGTAAACCCATGAAAATTTATTACTGACCTCATTTGCCTCTAAAAGGTTTCATTTGCATACCTTTTCTGACTCGCCGAAAAATTTAAATATAATTAAACTGAAAAGAAAAAAAAAAAAAAAAAGAACAAAGCTCCGACAGCTTTAATATTATGCAGTTCACATTAAACCTTTCTTTTTGATGTAGAAGCCTTTACTCAATTATAAAAAATACACGAGAAAAAAATAATATATATAAAAATAAGCAAAATTGAGATGTGAGAAAAAAAATTAGCTCATATTAAATCCACGCGGACTCTCTTAGCAGGTCTTGGGGTGGTAAATACGAATGGGTATCAGGACGAATACAGCAACAGTAAAATCACGATGACGACAAGTCATGTTTGAAAAATTTTAAAATGCATTTGCAAAAACTTTGACAATCGTCATCCGCAAAAACGATCGGATAGCCAGAGGCTATAGCTACATGTAGGTATGTATATAATTTAAAAATTGTCTCTACTCGCTCGCTATACTGATTGCACGGGACAGTTTCCGTCATTGTTACAAAGGCGTAAGTGCACGTAGACGTAAACGCGATGGCTTAGTATCCCTGGAAAGGTCCACCGCCGCCTCCTCCAACGCCGTTGCCACCACCCGGGCCTTGAGGCCCAGTACCGACCCCCGGCCCGAAACTCGGCGTACCCTCGTACGAAACTTGGGCCATGAAGCCGTTCTTCCAATCAGCCGTGTATCGAACGATTTGAGTGCGCCCATCCGGCAGCTGAACCCGGTATTCGCCGCGCGTCACGTCCCCGTCGCTGATGGCGTTGTGGGAGTAGTCGTTCCCGTACGCGTCCTCCTTCACCGCGTAGTTGAAGTCGAAGGGCATGCCGGGCTCGTGCACATGGTCGCCGCCGTGCTAAATGCAAAAATGATTGATATTATTATTATTATTATTTTTATTATTATTATTATTATTATTATTGCAGGTGAGTTTGTAGCATACATATGGTGTGACTTTTGGTACAATTCATTTTTAATTTTGATGAAACTTTTTTTTGTTTTTTTCTTTTTTTGACTAAAAAAAGTCTCAAGCTTTTTCAATTGGTATTAAAAATTTTTTCTCGAGCTTCCTTCATGGGTTTTATTTGAGTTTGGCGTGATTTGTTTATTAAAAGATTTATACAATCAACTATTAGGGCCTTTGTGTTCAGCTTTCTGTGTTTTTTCAGAATCGATAGAATAAGGGTACCATTGATAAATTTTGAATAAAAAATAATACCGGCAAATGCTTCCCAATTGTCACTTATCCAGCACTTTGAGTAAAAAATTGCTGGCCCGTTGGTGCAATAAAAGCCTGCGTATTGCAAAAAGGGCGGCGGAAGGAAAGGTATGAAATTTCAATGCATCACTTTTGTCAATTCACCCAACCATTGGAAGAGATTGCAGCGACTCGACGTACTATTTTGGTGAGCCAGAGAGACATTTAATTTTCTGCCTTTTTTTTTGTACCCAACACTTTGTGGATTCATACAAAATGAATGGGACGCTTGATGTCAGTCGAAGAAAAAAAGGGGGAAAAAAAATCTCGAAATAGCCTCGCAGTCAGGTAGCGAGTGACAGCTGTCACGTCGAAATTGCATTCCTCGCGAATCATTGCGGAGTAGAGTGTACACACCAAGTATGTGTAAAAAGAAGCGGAAGCCCGTATGATAACACTGTTTTTTTTTGGGTCTGATGTGGATGTGCGTGACGAACCATGGGCTTAGGTTTAAGTTGGGCTAGGTCAAACAATGGGAGGGGTTGGGGGTGGGGGGTTTGACTAGACACGTGCATTGGTTTTAACAGGAGACGAGCGTACACAAATCGCTCCGAGCCCAGCGTGGCAATTTACCTGTCGCACCGCCATTTCTCTCCTTTTCTACTTTTTATCCTTTTTCTCGTTTCACGGCTGTGTTCGTCTAGTAACCCACCTCCACCCCCTCGCGCCTTTTCATCGCTTTTGCATGCACTGCGTTTTCTCTTGAGCAGGAAGTCACTGTTATTTATAAGCTGGGCTCACACGATCGCGAAGATACAGTTGGAGGCTTTGTTTCGCTTCATCACGGAGAGTTGGCTTCTTCCTAAGAATTTCTTGCGACGTGGTATGATGATCAATTTGATAAATCGGGGGCATCGCGTTCAAGTGAATCGCGCGGTGGGAAGGACGGGTGTGGGCAAACCCGTTCATCGGTGGTTGGGCAAAAGAAACCATGTTGATGTTAATTTGGATTTAAGGTCAAGGTGATGTTTGTTCGGTGTCTCCAGGTAACACTGCCCAGCAAGTTGGAGATTTTGTTGGAAAAATCAGCTGCTTGCCATCCAACCGATATCCCGGTAATCAGGTCACCAGATCTCCAATTTACTGGGTAGTGATACTGTACCCCCCGAAGAAGCAGGTAGTTCAGAGAAATTATTATTTTTTCCTCCATTTTTTAACGCCAGTTCTGCTACTTTCGAAGGGAACAGAGTCGTCGTTTTGACAATGGAATAGCTCCTTTGGTTACATATTTTGACAAACCAGCGACTCGTGAATGATTTCTTTTCATTTTTTTTTTTTTATAGTACAAACGCGGCAGTGGGTACATATCATCTCGCGATGTATATCATACCGCAATAGACCCTGATTGGAAGTCTCGAAGGTGGGCACCGTTGGTGTACCCGTATACGACACGAGGGTTGTTATGTATGTATATATACGCATACGTAACAACTCAACGTCGGGCGCATGATTTATTCGGCTGATCGTTGGCACCACCGCGAGACATTAAGCCCTCCACTTTAGCGACCGGTCCGGGCCCTATATTGCTCGCGACCGACAATAAATACGGGAGCGAGGCCACCGCGAAGTATATACGGTGGGACAGAAGGTACGGCGTCGCTTATGAAATTTGCGATCGTCCGGCACGCGACTCTTCGTACATGTATATATATACACAAGCGGACGGTTCTCGCCCGGCTATGTACAGTGGACGCGCGAATCCGGAAGCGATAAGCTCCACACGGGGAACGAAGCGTCAGCACGAAAACCCTTCGAACGTTGTTCCATAGGTACACGTAACATGTACCTACCAACGATAGTTTTGCAGGCTACTGTCCGCCGTTCTTTCGTGTTGACTGTTGTAAGTGCCGATCGATACAAAGAGATCATACGTATCGCACGAGAGACGGAACTTTCTCAAGAGGGACTTTTAGCGAGCCTTCTATTGTTTATTGTTTTTGTGTAATCGCTGGAATTGTGGAAGAGGGTGAAGAAAGTACAGCAACTCAAGGGGGTGTTAATTCTTGGATGAGATAATGGAAGGTGGATGTTGATTTAGATCATAGTAGGTATAATCGATAGGATACTCGTTCAGATGAGATTTTAATGTAAAAGGTATCGTCAAAGTTGGTGGTTTACTCGCCATTGTGATGTTTACTTCACGTGTGCCCGCGATACAAATATTGTAGTCCTGTTGGCATTTTTTTTTTTTACATGTACGTATATCAGTACTTTGAAGCTTTCACGGTACAATGAAGCGCCAAAGTACCAATTTACCTAAGTAAAAAGCATACATTGTGCACTCGTGCGTAATTGAATACGCAAAAATACACTTGCAATAGCCATTTACATCAAATGTGGATGTTTTTTGGTGTACCACAAAAATCCAAGGGATGAAAAAGGGCTGAAACTGCTTCATCAACAAACGCAGGATCATTAGTTATGATGATAACGATGGCCAGTATTTGTATATTATATGCCATACGTGTAATTATATAGAAATGGGGCACGTCACGCATCTCTATTTTATCGGAAGAAGATAATAATAATGATAAACGCGCCGTATACCCTTGACGCGAAGGAAAGGAGTTTGAGGTAACAAATTGTTCAGTTTATCGGTGGATAATGTGAGCCCAACCTTCGCACGGCCAAGCAGAAAAAAAGTACCATTTACGAGATTGGTGTAAGATGATGAAAAGGCCATTTTACAGAATGACGTTTACAGTTCGCGCAAATACTCAGCGCCTGAGAGCCAAGATGATGACGAGTATTCAAGGTACCCATGGTAAGTAAGTACCGCTGTATTTATACATCGAGCAAAAGAAAGTGTGGCCGAGCTCTCCACACACGCCCGTTTGAATTATAGCCTCGTGCCGAGAGAGTCGTGATCGCCAACAACCAGTATATATTATACCTCCACGGGGTCCTTATACGTTATACGGACTTATGATTGGTGTGTGTGTGTACGTACATACACGTATGGAAAAGCTGTGTTGCGACGGCAACGGTATAATATAAACATGTATATGGTGGAGGAGCAGAGCCCGTGGCCGATCGATCAAAATTAAAGAGCCGCTCTCGACGGCGGTGGCTGCTGTTGCTGCTGTTATTAATTACCGAGCGTCACGCGGACCTGACATTGTACAACACACCAATGGCTTTGAATCTTGCCGATGTATACAACGCGTGTACGAATTTTTATAGGCACGTGTGTGGGTGTAGGTCTATGTGTATACCTACCTAACTTTGGTCCATACCTTCGATTGTTTGTACATACCAAATTATACACATCGGTAAAAGTGCCTTTATGTGTGGTATTCTAAGCTACACCGGCGAGTGACGTAATTATATATGTAAGCAGGTGTGAGCGAGAGAAAAAAAACAAAAAAAAAAAAAAAAACTAGTGGGTACTTAAAGGAGGCCTCGAGGTGCTCTCAAATGCAGTTGTACTTTCGCACGCGTCCCAACAAAGTTGGCCTGTAGATAAGGGCTCGCGAGCATACTATACCCTTGCATGCATGTATATATTATGTACACGAGCATCACTTTCACGTTCCCGCGACACCGTTGTTGGGCTGTGTACAACGTTGTGTAGAGTATTCTATATACTTGGCTTCTGTTATAAAATAGTCATTGTTGGTGTCTACAATATGTATACATAATCATGTCTGTATCTGTGGTCTGGTGTTTTACGGCGCTTCTTTTATCGCTGTACGCTCAAAGTAAATCTTGGGTCCTTCTCACCCCGGTGCCCGGCTCTTGAACCACTCAACAATTCCACTTGTGTGTGTAGGTGTTTTTTTTGTACGCGGTAATTTAAACAGAGGGAAAAGTTTAACTACTTCAAATCTCACATTTGCGGGGTGAAAAAACGTTTTTATGGTACAATACGAAGGTTGTTCCAGATATCCACATAATCTATACCGGGAGAAAAGTGCCTTGAGAGACAATTAGATTAAATCTTAATGTAAGATGCACCTGTGTTTTTTTTTTTTTTTTTCTACTGGACCAATAGGAATGATAAGAAAAAATATTCTGGCATAAGATTCGTGTCTTGTTAGACATATTGTTGAGCATTTTTTAATTTACCAATTTTATGCGTCAAATTGAAAATGTTTTTCTTGTAGTGAAAATGACTAAAACTGTTTTTTTTTTTTTTTTTTCTTTTTTTCTACAACTGGTGTGGGGAAAGTTTTTTTCGTATTTTTTAGACCTAGTGAGAAAAATAAAGTAGATCCATAGACCTTGTTAAAACTGGACCCAAAAATGTATCTTTTTTGCAGAATCCCTCGTAAATAATACACAAAAATGCCTCCAACATCAACAAACTAATATAATGTGGGTAGATTTATCATTAAAAGAACCCAGGTATTGAATAAATGTAAAATTTTTTTTTTTTCTTGTAGTACATCGCGAGGAAAACCTCTTGAAAAATCATTGCTATACCACGATGGATGACCAGTCTTGACATATTACTCTACGACAAAAAACGAAAATTTTAATACCCAAACGTTGAACGTACAACTTTTCTTTTAATTTAATTTCCACGGATTGCAATAAATTGGTAAAAAAAAAAAAAAAACAACATACTAAACATATGGCACGAAAAACCTTCGAAACGGAAAAATATATTGATTGCACCCTCGCGCGTGATTTACGATGCACGCGAAACAATATTCACAATTACTTAACGAGTCGAAATTAATTTTGGGCCCACGGGAGCGCAAACACACGTAATATACACTCGCCCGTTAAAACCGAGCTCGAGCCACTTTACGAAGACAGCTGCAGAATTTATCTCATACGGTGGCAAATTATGAGCATAGAGGGACCGATATTTTACCCGCGAAAACGATTGTGATTTCGAAGCTTTGGGTGAAGAGAGAAAAAAAAAAAAAAACCAACTCGTCTACCTCGTGTTACGCGTGACTGCGTACATATGCATAGATAAGGGCTTTCACCATTATTTGCGCTTGTGTTAATTCCCACGCCTTGTATCCATCGATGTATACGTGCGAGCGCCCATGCAGCCATGGCAATCCGTATATAGGTATCCCGTGATGCGCGTGGCTTTCCGTTCGCAATTTAAATAAAGTGCGAGCGCCGAGAGGGGGCTTACGTAAACTATCGAAATTCAATCTTTTTGTCGGAAAAACGTTCCATTAGCCATCCCCGTCCTCGTCGCTGGAGCTGTTACATACACGTCCGTGTACGCCTGACCATGTTGTACACACCATTGCGACCCTCGCGTATATCTTCCCATGCGACTCGCTCATCCGAGATGTTCGAGTTTCGTAAAACCTTGTTTCGCAAATTATTTACCAGTATCATTTTAATTGCGTAGCTGCAGCTCCTGCCGTTGCCGACGCACTGCGCTTTCCGTACACTGTACACACGCAGATGGGAGGGAAAAAAAAAAAAAAAAAAAAACATAGAAAAAAATCACACCACGTTGCGACATTATTAAAATACAGCGGGAGTTCACGTCAGCTCCTGTTACATCGATTTACGCAACGCATCTCTCGCAGGGGAGCATAACGCGAGCGCACATTTGAAATACCTTGGGAGCTTATACGTGAAAAATAGATGAGCCGCGTCGATGTAATTAAAATTATCAACCGATGCGCTCTCCCTCCCTTTCTCTGTTAGAGACGAGGAGGGTGGGTCGCTATGGTTTCGCTCGGCTGCAAAGGAGATAAAAATACATAAACTTTGTTATACGCAATATATAATATACCTAGTCAACGCCGTGGGGAGTAAGGGGATTGCAAATAAAATAATAATAGTAGTAATAATAACGGTTGCCCATGGCTAACTATAATTAAAAGTCTGGCCAGCGTTTGATTCGCATCTCCGTATTGCCCTCGTAATTTTTTTTTTCAACAATGCAAAGTGAGCCAAGCTTTTTGCCATTTTATTTACACCGACCGAGCAGGTAAAACGAGAGGAAAAAGAGTGGTGGGAGGGCGGCTCGAAATGAATACGCAGGGGTGTACTGGTGGGTTGGTATTTTTCACAACGCGTTTTCCGGAACAAAGTTGCGCGTGAGATGTATGGGATGTCTCTGCGGTGGTCAGAAAAAGAGATGGATGGATACTCCGGACTAAAAAAGCCACACGGGTGTGTGGAAGGAATTTCTCCGTTTCCTCTTTCGAAGCGCGTTGCCATTGCACCTCTGTCGTTGTTTGGCTTTGAAAAACATCGGAGTCAAAGAACGGCAGCTAGAATTTTGGGCTGCAATTTGCGAACTCGAGACCGAGTTAATTAAATGAAATTTCGCTCCCTTGTATATACAGCTTAGTGGGTCGTGTTCGTGGTGCCGTTGGCTTATTAGTTGGCCGTTTATGCGCGTATAGTTGGTAAGGATGTGCGCGTATGAAATTTCAAGTGGATAACCCACAGTTAATTGAAATTTCTTATTGCAGGTATAGGTACATATGATAGTGCAGATCATCGACTTGCCGAAGGTTTTTCTTGTGAATATTGCGGATACCTTTTTTTTTATTTTTTTTTTTTTAGCTCCAATAAGTATAGATGAAAAACTTTCCACAAGTTTTTTTTCGTAATATTCGCGTCATTTTCCGTGACTATGGCGAAAAAATTTGAAACACCGAGTGAAAGGCTTGCGCCGTAAATCCTCACGATATTTCAGCAGTAGCAGCAGTAGCGCGATATGAGCACTATTCTCAGATCCACGAGAGCCGATATAATATGTACGCGTGCACGGGCTTCTAGGTATAGAGTAGGTGAATAAAAAAAGCGACGGCAAGTTATAAGACCCCAACGATGGTAGCAAAAGCGCGTACAAGCTGCGGCATTGTAAGGGGTGGTAGGTACAGCCTCGGGGCTCGAGCATATCGTACTGCATACTTCCTTGAGGTGTTATACTTATTTGTGAAGATCCTCCGCTCCCGCAAAAGCCTCTCGAGCACAAAGAGTCTCTGGCTCTCGTATAGTTCGTACACGTACTTGAACGTATGTATTACCCAGCAAAGCCCGATTCCGATGTATAATATAGCGGGTGCCAACACGTGCATCTTACAATACATTTTTTATTCCCAACAGAGTGTTGATTAGAGTTAAATAATGTATTTTTTTAGATTACAGCGACAAATAATTCTCAGAATACATTAACAATACCCAGAGGGGGGGGGGGGGGGTGTAAATTACCATTGAATTTATCATCTGGCTAGAAGAAGGGTTTCGCGAAGTCAATCAGTACAACACTTTAACTATTTATGCGTCCAACAAAAGAGTCTCTACACTCTGTAAATCCAAGTAATGGTATGTTACATTATCGTTAAGAAAATACATTTTTGTTTATGATTTTCGCTTCACACACCTAACTACGAGCTCACACAATAGACTGCAAAGCTTTATCCCGAGTTCGTGCGGACCGACAAATTAATCGTGAGCAACGTATTGTGACGAAATTTCGGTGAATGGCAGGAATATTACATCAAACCCCGTCAGTTTGTCAATGAATTTCAAGGCCCGTCCATTTTCCCAGATTTTCCGATGCCAGACACCCGACATTGACACTTTGGAAAAGATTGAGTCGCGTTTTATCGTTCGTAGCATATAACAAATGGCCCCACAAAAGACTATAACAACGATTAGATGGGTAGGTATCTTTGTTGGGAAGAACGGGTATAGCAATGAGATTCTGGGTACTTACGTCACCAGGTCCACCGGGGGATGGGTAGCCTCCGGGGGTGGAGGGCGGCCTCGCTGGGGGTCCCGTGGGCGGTCGAGCCGGTGGTCCAACGGGCGGTCTGCCGGGTGTCGTTCCTGGACTCGGGAAGCCCGGCCCCGGGGGCTTGTTGTAGTCGTAGCCCTTGGTCGTGTCCGGGGGCAGGTACGTGTTGGCGTTGGCGCGCAGCCTGATCCCGGGCGGCAGGTCCGCGAGTCCAACTGTCAATGCGACCGCGCTCAGCCAGAGCAGGCTCAGCTGCTCGACACACGAAGAAAAATACACAATAATGTATTTAATACTCTATCCTTGCAAAAAAGTGCCTCGTCCTTGAAAGGATTATTTTTAACTTTTATCGAAACTTTAGCTTTGGCCGATCAGGCGATGTATATATATATACTTGTATCAGCTACGGTTTTTTTCTCTCCCTCCATCCGTCCACCCATTTGTTAGTTTTACTTCGACAAGTGTTGCACATCTCGATACAGAGACAAGGTATATATATATTTGTACGTACATTCCATGAGTGCTTATGGCGCTCCCTTAGAAATTCACATAGGTATTATAGAAATCATTTGCTCCCATGTACGTGTATGTATACATTACGTATGAATGCGTGGGGTTGCGTGTGTGTCGCTGCCGCACTATAACATCAGTATACGAATGGGTACGGTGTGTAGGTGCCTTTTGCACACATGGATGTATAATATAGAGATGCACGTACGCGGGTACATACATACGTATTATAGCAAGAGCCGAGCGTTGGTTGTCGCAATTTCTCGAACAATGCTCTGACCTTTCGAGCGATCAGATAAATAGTTATATATATANCAGGCCTCTCCCTCCTCCTTTCTCTTCTTTCTTCTTTCGCCGGGGCAACATGGTCTTTTTGTATACGTATATATATATATATACATGTATACCGTGTGCCGCGTAGTCCCGAAGAAAAGAAGTCGGAGGAGGGGAAAGGAAGAAGAAATAAAGAGGCTGCAAGAAAATTGCCGCAATTTCTGGTAGTCGGCAGGATGCGTCGGAGGATATTTCATCGGTGTTTCAAATAAAGCGTAGATTGCACGTAAATAGAGAAAAATTGCTGGTAAACGACTTCGTGGTTCGTTGCCACTGTTCCAATACACTTGATTGTCGAGGAAAGTCTATTTTTTTTTTTTTTTTTTCTCTTCCAAGAGTATCCCCACGTACTACACCTCTGTACAATGCGGATGGTAGTAGCCGAATAAATTTTGCTCCCCGCGAATCGATGCGCGGCCCTTCTCGCACGTTTTGCCGGATTTTACGGAAAAATAGTCGGATATTCACTGCCGATCGGTGAAACTGTTGAGCACCGTTTTAACAATCGTTTTTCTAAAAAAACTACATTGATCCGTACATCGAACAAACATAGGTGAGTAATTTGGGATGCCAATTCTCGTATCGAGTGAGCTTTGTATGAAAGTTTTGAGTGCGATTCTTCAACGAACCATCTTCAACAGGATTGCATCTCGTTATTTCGAATCTGTACAGCATTACCAAAGCTATTGCAGAATATCGGAGTTGAAAGCTTTCAAACGTGAAACGAATTATTTCACATGGCATTAATTTGATTGGCAGCGTATTAATTCTGATGTTTTTCCTAAACTGTGTGTAGGTACTTTTACGTTGCTATACCACTGAGGTGAATCTATGAGCTAATGAACCTTGTGATTTTGGCATGGGAAGCGGATTGCAATTACCATATAGGTATGCTTTTGAAGAACCAAAAGGTGTTACGCTCGTAGTTTTTGGGTTAAAAGCTCACTTGAATGCACAAGCCTTTGGGGGGGAAAATTTTTAATTGCTTTTAAATTCCGTCGAGAGCAAAGGGTTCGCTCTCAATGGGGTCAAATGAGGTTTTAGAAAGGCCATGTGAACCATTTTTTAATGAAATTCTCAACATGTTCCTTTGATGTGGCAATACTGCGTGCTAATAAACAGTATTTTCATTAACTTAGGCTTCGATCAACATGAAATTGACAGATTTGTCACTTTTACGTGTCAAAGTTAAGAAATTTGTTGAAAAAAAAAGAAAAAGAAAATAAAAAATAATGCTCGAATTTAATTTTTTCAGTTATTTCCACGTGCAAAGTCGTGTAATCGCGGTTCGAGCGAGTAGTGTGAGTTCTTTGATCTTGGAGTTCAAAATGTTGCTTTACTGGTGAAAAAAAAAAAAAAAAAAAAATTCAAAGTTCCGAGAGTGTGCCCTTTGACGTTTATGATCATTATGTGACCTCTCATTTGCGCGAAACGTCGAGTAAAAATAAAAAAAAAGGATCCTGCCTTTGGCACTGTAAGTTGAAAAAAAAAACCCATATTCATCCAGTGCTGGCTCTAGGGTTGGTTGGGCGGGCACCACGCAAAAGCTATAATACCAACGGTCGAGGTTAATTACAAATACACACGTTAATTTTACACGTGATATACACGAGTTTGTCAGCAAAAAGCACCAAAAGCTCAGTTTAATATCTCAATCACAAATGAAAAAAAAAAAAGATTACTGTAATCAGGTTTTATTTTAGAGTCGTAGGTACAATGATGGATCACTAAACACACTGCATATTTTCAGCCACTAACTTTTTACTGTTCAGTTCTATGACAACAGTCGAGCATAACACCGTCTATTATTCGTAAGAGAAGTACAATAGGCAGTCGGCTCTCGAATAAATTTTTTTTTTTTCGTGCACTCTGCGTAAGTATTTTGGCAAAGCCACGCTTTGTATTATCTGTTTCTTTTTAATATGCTCAATTGGGATGAAAAAGATATTGGAGTTAAAGTGTCCTCCTCTTGCCTAATCGAATCGACAAGACCCCTTTCTCTTCTTTTTTTCCTTCCCAGGCGACGATGCGAGCGTTATATGTGCCTGTGTTTTTCCTCGTCGCGCGACGCAACTCTTTCTTCAACACACGCGTACAGTAACAGTGATGCACGCATGCACCTGTATACTTTATACATTATAGACGATGGAAAGCAACCTGTGTCCACAGTACGAAAAGGAAGCATCAGACTCCGTACAGGTGCATAAAATCAGCACAAAACTCATTAGCGGTACATGCACACCAAAATTCTCCAAAAAAATCATTAAGTACGGGAAACTAAAGTTTTTTTTTTCAACCCTAGTCACAACCGATAGGTTCCAAATTTTACTGATTCAATCTGACCAGTACTTTCCATTGTTATCCAAAAAAAAAAAAAAATGAAAATTTGTCTCTTTCGGTAAAAACTACGGCTTTTTATAATTTGTTCTTGAAGCATAACTCAGCTTGGAAAAATATTGGACCATCGACTCAAAACCTAATAAAAAATGTTTCAATCTTGATTAATTCGAGATCTGGATGACTGAAAAGTGTACTGAATACAACCAATTTTTTTCAAAGGCCAATTGTCAACCAAGTAAAGCCAATGTACTACATATAGCGGCGTATCATTACATTGTAGTATACTCATTGTACTCGGTGCGTTATTAAGCAGCCGTAGCAAGCCAGGATGCGTGTGCAGGTCCCGTGTTTTTTTTTTTTTCTTTTCAGGTGTGGGGCCGTACTATGCACGCGGAGCAGCAATAATAACGCAAGCTAGTGCAAACAGAGCGTCGTCGCTCGTCTTCGTGCTCGGCTCTGATTTGCCAGTCCACGAGCATCCAGTTCTTGTCTCTCCGTCCGCCCACTGTCGTACCAAGGGTTCATTGTTGGCAGCTAAATCTGATTAGTTTCTAGGCTGAGGGGACGCTGATAAGGGTCTTTTGTGCGCGACCCGTCCGACATATTCCAAACATACACGCACGTGCGGGCGATACTGCGCCGGGCTTGGCTGGTCGTGTCAGGGTCAATACTCGAAGAGCCGATGCGCCCGACTAACGAGGCCCTATTACTCCACGCCTACGTCGTATCGTGCACTGAACCTGATGGTAGAGCTATAGATATTACGCGTGCCTGTATAGCTTCAGTTTCACTGAATTTACATTTCATTGTCATTACTCATCAGGTTGTTGTGACGTTTTAGAGGCATACCTCACGAAATTCCAGGTCGGGCTTGAAATATTTTTCTCGTGTTACGTGGATTGTTTTTTTTTTCCATCATATTACATAAATGAATTTAGTTGTGCCATGACAACAGGTCAGTTAGCGCGCGGGAGAGGGAGGACTTTTAAATTGGATAGTGTACACCCGAGTGTGTTATTCGAATTTCCGTATAAATTATTTGTTTGTTATGAATTACAGTGGTACGGATCGACATTTGATTGATACGAATTTTGAATGGAAAATACTTGTTTGACATTACCTTTAGAATTCCTAATCAACACTACTGTCGTGTATTTTATTAATAATATTGATTTTCAATATTCACGCACTCGTACGGGTGTGCGCGAGAGTTTTTAAAAACTTTGAAAAAACAGCTATTTTCTTCCAAATATGTTTTACTTGGAAGTTTTATGATTACAACCGAGTATGTCCTCCGTTTGACGTATTTAATGTAGAACAGTTGAAAAAAGTTGTAAAAAAATGATTGCTTTTGGAGTCTGATATCAAGAGTCTGGTTAAGGAGTGCTCTCCAGACTTTTTATAAATTACCTTACATGTTCAAAGTAGGCTAAAAAGTAGTCATGATTTCTGTGATGACAACAACAAGATAGTTTAATTTATTCAATTATAAAAAGTTAACAGCTTCGTAAAAATAATCCCTTTTGTTAAACTGTACACTTTTTTCTTCAACTTTTTATGATTGAATACGTTAGATTTGTTATACTTACAAAGAAAAAAAAATTTAAAAAAAACAATCCACTTTTTTCTACTACGCAAGCTTTAATCGCATGTCATTTAAACATGTACGTTTGGATTTTTAGCGCATTGATTAATAAGGCGAAAAAAGGCATCGTTCCAGAAGTAAGTACACCTTATCCAATTTAAAAAATGCACGTTGAAGTAGTAAAAATGCCAATGTCAAATGTAAAAATCCACATACTATCCATATTTTCCACTTTAAAATCCAAATATAAGTAAGTATCGCGTTCTCATCGCGAGATCATATATACACACGCGCTATGGTGTCGGCACGCGCGCGTCGTAATACCGAGTCGTATGGTACACACCTCCAGCACTACGCCGATCGTGTAATCGAGTTGCGTCAAGCGCATGGGGCATACAGCACAACACCCACCTATATCACACATCGACCCTCCGCACGTAGGATATATATGTACAGGTGCAACATACATGATGCATCTAATTGT